TGCACAAGTGACATTGCCCCTCACAGATTTTTTGAAAACCAAAGGAAAGGGGACACCTAAAGCTCAAAAGCCCGGGGCACCATTGACATGGACTACCAAGTGCCAAAATGCATTTGAAACACTCAAACCCCTATTCCCGGCTGAGCCAGTTCTCAAACACCCAGACCCTGACCGGCCCTTTGTAATTCAAGCTGATGCCTCAGACACAGCAATAGGAGCAGTGCTGCTCCAAAATGAAAAAGGGGGGCCCCTCAAGCCCTGCGCTTATATCTCTCGTAAATTCACAGAAACAGAAAGGTGTTGGCTGGTATGGGAAAAAGAAGCCTTCGCAGTTCGCTGGGCTCTATTAACTTGGCGACACCTCCTGGAAGGATCGCCTCACCCTTTTGAGGTATGGACTGATCATAAGAACTTAGAAGCTCGAACAACACCCAGGAAACTTTCCCCCAAGCAAGTGTGCTGGGGTCAGTTTTTCAGTCGATTCAAGTTTACTCTAAAATTCATTCCAGAAGGGAAAAACTTTCTGGCTGATGCTTTGTCTAGACTTCCCCAACACAACAGCCAGCGAGAACAGATAGTGGCGCCGGTGATTCCCAAAACCCCATCAGGCTCGGTGGCACTCCCTAGAGCCCAGGCCAAGCAAACAAAGCCTACTCCAATAAGTGAATTGCTCACGAAAATAAACACTGCTTTAGAAACAGATGAATGGTTTCAAAATGATAAAAATTCCTTAACAAAGGAACAGGAGGCATGGTGGATGGGAGATAAATTGTACGTGCCCTCTCAACTGCGCAAGGAAATTTTACAAAGAGGCCATGATGATAAAACATCTGGGCATTTTGGTTTTGTGAAAACTTTACATTTATTACGCAGACAATTTTGGTGGCCTACAATGAGAAAGGATATAGCTGAATATGTCAACACATGCCCCACATGTGCCATGGCAAAGAAGTGGGGAGGAAAACCTTTAGGACTATTGCAGCCAGTGGCTACCCCTCACCAACCCTGGAAAGAAATTGCCATGGATTTTATTGTTGATTTACCAGAAAGTAATCACAAAACAGTCATATGGGTAGTCATAGACCTATTCTCCAAACAGGCACATTTCATTCCATGTGCCTCCATTCCAAAAGCTAAAAAACTAGCCAGGATGTTCATTCAACATATATGGCGCCCCCAGAGGGTAATTTCAGATCACAGGACACAATTCACTTCAAAATTTTGGCGTGAATTTATAAAAATGATTGGCTTTACACAAGCCCTGAGTTCCAGTTTCCATTAAAAAATTTTCCTGAGCTATCTACAGATGAATGGATTACCAGCATCACCAATTTATGGCCTTTGATTGTCAAAGCACTTCAAAATGCCCGAGAACAACATAAAAAGTATGCTGATCGTAAATGTGCTGTACAACCACCTTGGAAGGTGGGAGACTAAAGTATGTCTATCAACAAAAAACTTAAAAAGCACTCAACCATGTAAAAAACCAGGACCAAAATATGTTGGACCTTTCCCTATTGAAAAAGTCATCAGTCCTGTTGCTTTTAAATTAACTCTCCCAAAAAACTACAGAAAGATTCACCCAGTTTTCCATGTCAATTTAGTAAAACCTTACAAAGTTTCCATGACAATCAGCCTCCCAAGCCCATCACAATTGGGGGAGAAAGTCATTTTGAAATACAAGCCATACTGGACTCTAGAAAACACAAAGGCAAATTGCAATATTTAGTGCAATGGAAACACTTCCCCAAAACACACCATGAATGGGTGGATAGCCACCACGTTAAAGACCCCAAACTCATTAAGGATTTTTACAGTAAATATCCAGAGAAACCTAGATAAACAATAACAACTTATATTGTATATATTAATTACTTCTTCCACAGTTTATTGTACATATGCATTCTTTGTATTGTTGCATTCTGATGTTGCATTTAGTATATGGTATATATGCATTCTTTCTTTCAGATTTTATTTCGAATGTGATGACATTCATCTTGTTGGAGAGCAGCATGTCAGGATCTGCGCAAGCAACTACTGAAAGGCTATTAGAAAGTCATCATAAAATTTACAATGTAGACAAATAGCTAGTAGGTTAGAATGTTAGTTAAGACAAGAACCATGATTTGTATTCCCGCTTGCCGGTTCCTGCCATAAAAGTCAGAGGGAGGGAGAATAATAAAACAAGACGGGCCAGGTGCACCGTGATCTCGGCGAGAGGCGCCGGCAAGGTCGGACGGCCGCGGGACCCGGGAAGAGGCGCGAAGAATTCAAGCGGGAAAAGTAGACTAGAGGGGGGTTAAAAGGAGAGCCCTGGCCGGGGAGGGTCAGTCTCAGCAATCTCTGGAATGCTGTATGCTGCTTCTCAATAAAGAAATCTTGGCTGGAAACAAATAGGCTCCAGAGGATTTACTGGACTTGGGAATTGAGCGTGCAGAGGGCCTTTGGCTGATAAGATCAACCTGGAGGAGAAAGACTTGACTTCATTGCCTTATTGGCTGATAGGCTCAAGGATGGATTACTGTAATGCACTCTCTGGGGGGAGGCCCTTGAAGACAATCCAACCTTTGTTTGAAAACCTCCAGGGACGCAACCCCCAAGGCTCCAGTTGTTCCATGACTTAACAGCTTTCACATTTGGGAAAGTTCTCCCTGGTTTGGAGGTTGAGATGCAGGAGGACATCTGGAAGGCCCCAGATCAAGAAAGGCAGGCAGTGCAACTGGGCCTCGGTGCCTTTACATAGGCGTCTGCTACAGGCCATAATGATGCATACGCAGCCATGGCTTCCTCTGTTGGCCTCCCCTCATCAGTGGTTTATGCTGAGCATCTCCCAGAAGACAACCCCAATAGCCAATGGGTTGTTCCTGGGCACCAAGAGGTCCTCAGACACCTCCCTTGGCCCCCACCAGGCTCTTGCTGTACCTGACTTATTTTTTAAGATCACTTTTGATTTTAGAAAAACACACAATACCCCCAAGTAGCTGGTTTGCTGCAATCGAAAGACCTGCCTCCAGCGTAGTATTTATTAGATTTATATCCCACTTCCTGTGGGGGAGATGTCAGCGAGACCTCTGACGCTACTCCGGAAAAGACTCTGCAATCTCTCAAAACATTTGTAACGGTGACTGGGGGGTTATTTTAGGGCCAGTCTGCAGCCCTTCGGTCTTGCATCCTGAGAAAGAGATTCAAACAGCTCTTGGAGACGTTGCCTTGATGAACTCGCTAACAGAGGAATAAAGGTGCCAGCCCTTGAGAGAAAGACCTGGGGCTCTTGAAAGACCACAGATTAAGGATGAGCCAGCAATCCCTTAGGGATGTTTTGCGTAAAAATGAAAAAAATGAACTTGCGATTTAGGGCTTTGGTGATTAGACAGGATAGATTATAGAGAGAAGAGAGTCACGATGTAAGTTAAGAGAGGTTAAAATATGATTGCAATTATAACTGCT